AATGTGTCAATATAAATGACCCAAAAGGGCTTCAGAGTTTGATTTTCAGAAAAACTATCCTTTCGACTTGTTGATATTTTAAAGCTACAATACCAAAGATTTTATGCTGCTAGAGGGCGCTACATTCAAAACAACAACAACAGCTTTGCTTGATGACGCCGTGAAGGAACGCGGAATGATGGGAACTGTTGTTTTCAACTCCACCGTGGATAAATCACAGACAGTATAAATCAGTCAGACGGGAATCGAAAATTAGTTGTCATGGATGAGGTGAAATGCAATTTCCATAACTGTTGCGTTTAATGACATGCTTGTTTTTCATTAAACTGAAATAACCGCAAGAAAATAAGGTTTAAAAGTAAATTAGTTATCACAGATGTTAGGGGAGAGCCGGGACGGTTGAAACACTTTTCAGATAAACGTCGTTTTCTAAGATACAGCCAACAGTTCACTTTCCGAGAAGTATTCGCGGTGAATATGACCTTACGATTTGTCACATCATATGCATAGACAACAAGACATTCTAACAATAATACTAATTGTTTAGCATGGTTTACTGACATGAAATTTGAATACAGAACGCAGTGTTACTCACCTGTCAAGTAAAACACATGCAAGATCGGCGTTCTAGTTAGAGTTTTTTTTACGAAGTTCTCTCCATTTAGGAAATGCCACACCGATGTTGAGCTGGTTTTATTTCTCTTGTCCCAAATTTTTCTTGGGTCATTTGGTTGACCCGTTCATTGACGTTTGCGTTTATGAGACTTGTCTTTGTAGACAGAACCAGGTGCAATCGCTAAAGAATAATTGTGCTCCATTCCATAACAAATGCACAAAACAAGCTGGCGTTCGTTGCTTGACAGACGCTAACGCACAACTACAACTTCCGCATTTGTCCAGGACTACACGCTGTACGAGCGGAAACCGAGGTAACTCGGATATGACGCGATTGACTGCCGACTCCCAGCTCACCCCTGCTCACACGCCCCGTTTCTTTGGTTAAAATCTCAATTTTCTCGCAATTTAAACCTTGTTTGAAACATTTTGAATATTGTAAGTTATCATCTTAACTAAATATATAACACTGGCCTTGTGATTTTGCGATATTTTAATGCAAAAATCATAGGTATTACACCTTTAAATACTGTTGGATATAATGGCATGATAAAAATGTGTTCAAGAACTTAAAGGGACTGTTCACCCAAACTGTTAATTCTGTCATTAATTACTCACGTTCACGAGAGCGTCACAACGAATGTGTGGTGTTGACGCAAAGGCAGATGTTGCATGAATGCACGTTGGTAATTATAATTTTGTAAAGTGTCAAATTTTGTTGTTTTTTTGCGCAAACAAAGCGCTTCATAAAATTGAGTACTGGGGCTCAACTTTTAATAACATTCTTTTATTTTTTTAAGAAATTAATACTTTTATTCAACAAGGATGCATTAAGAGAATCATAGGTGACAGTACAGACTTTTTACAAAGATTTTTTAAAATTTAATTTCAAATAAATTATGTTCTTAAGAACTTTCTTTTCATCTAGGTTTCCTGAATGAAAATGTATCACTTTTTCAACATTTTTTTTTCCCAACATTGATAAATGTTTTTAAACAGCAAATCAGCATATTAGAGTGATTACTAAAGAATCATGTGACGCTGAAGACTGGAGTAGCCCAATTAAAAATTTAGCTTTTCCTTACAGGTATAAATTACATTTTAAAATCTAATTACATAGAAAACAGTTCATTTAAATTATTTCCCAATATGATTGTTGTACTGTATTTTTTAATCAAATAGGCTTAATTGCAGGCTTGATGAGCACAAGAGACTTTTTAAAAAACTTACTAGCCACCAAACATTTGAGTATGTTGTGACCTATAAGTTGTGCTTGATCTATAAGGTGACAGCATGAAGAATAGCAAGTGCCTATTTGTAAGCAGTTATGCTAACCTGTAATGACCAAATTATATGAGGAATTGCAAGCATAATGGGATTAACAAAGGACCAATAAGATGGTCGGACTCATTTAAAAATGTCCCATACAAGCTTATGAAATGCTTTGAGACCCCTCATACTAGACATGGGGCATGAGGACCAACTCTTTTGCAAACTTACACATTATTATTATTATTATTATTATTATTATTTTACCTAATACATTGATATTTGCATTACATGACCAGCTTCAGATGTTTGGCTTTCTGACAGTGAACTTGCTCAGAACCTCTTTTAGGGCTGGAAAGATGTAGCCTATCGAAATTAGTCGATTTATTTGTTAATGCTCGTTGTTTATGTTCCCCAATAATGGAAGCTCCGACTCCCGGGAATATTACAAAAATAGAGACTGAAGTGTGTTTTTAATTTTTTTTTACTTAATTTATTTAATGATTGTGGTAAAACTTTTATGGACGGTTTTATTAACACTGCCATGTTTGATACGGTCGCTACGCTATGGTTAGTTAATTATTCCGACATTAATTGTAGGGTTATTCATTATCTAAAGTATTAATAAAATCAAATAAACAATATATATAAAACAAAAATAATGGGATTATTTTATGGATGTATAGTTTAAATTAATTTTGTTTTAAATTTATTTTAATTTAATATTATGAACTAAACCGCTCATAAACGCACATTAAAATAACCCATTAGAAAGGAAAGTATTATGCAATTGTTTAAGATATTTCTCTTTATATAGAAGCCTTTTTAGCATAAAGTTAAGTGCATTGGCACAGAATAAAAAAATATTCAGAATAAAACATTATTGGCACATTCACATTATTCTGTTTCAGCACAGCGCACTGTACAATACACTTGAAAGTGGTGAGAAAAATGCAAAAGCAATGTAATTTCATTGTGCAAAACCATTGGGCACCACAGGCAGATTTTTCAAGCCCAGGTTGTACACAACACACATTAATACCAATTAAATACTAATTATTAAATATCACTTAAATATTAATATCAACTTCCTTTCTTCCTTCCTTGGTAAAACGTGAATTTTAAAAACAGAATAAGGTAACTAGGTTCAGGTAAAGCGGTTATGTTCAGGACAAAGCTCTGAAAGTTACAAACAGGCTGATGTCCAGCTTTTGGCCTGAGGGATTTAATAGAGCACCACAAAGAACGGCCTTTCTCTTCATAAATGAGCCACTCAGTGACAGAATGAACCACAGACAAAGCCCCATGATTCAGGGTGACGTAACGGAGAACTACAAGAACAAATAATCAACAAATTAGACTTACAGCAAATGGTGAGTAAAAAGTGTCCAAACTGACCAATTCAGGCAATCAATCCAGTTGTATTGATGAGAACAAAAATAGTTAATGTTCAGTCAGAGCTTTGATGATTACCATAACTAGAGGCTTGCTCATTCATGTCATTGCAAACAGTGCATAGTTGCAGTTCTGATGATCAAACATAATAGTGAGTGACACTGAAATTTTGGCAACAGAATTTTTTTTTTTTTTTTTTAACAAATTAAATTTGTTTTGGAAAAAAAATGCATTTGGGTGCATCACTACAAGCCACTGAAGCTCTCTATCTTACAAAACATGCATGAATGCAAACATGTCAAAATATATATAAAACTTGCAGGGTTGAGCAAATCTCTCTCAAGTAATCTATCAAAACCTATGGGTTCAGTATAGACAAAAAAAAAACCTACACACACACATAACACATCCCCTTCAGCGACAGGCAGGATAACAGTCTTGTGTCTTTAGGTTAAAGTGTTTGCACCCCTTTTAAACCAGTCCTGTAAATAGATAAATTCTGTTCATTTGAGTTTGGTAGCGATGTTTGGTTATGTTCTGCCACCCTGAGATTCATCAGATAAGAGGCAGAAAGCTTGTTAGGGAATAAACGTCACGAGGATAAGGCAGACTTCAAGGCGCTCTCAGAGCGTGACACATGCACAAACTCATTCTCCATTTTTCTCTCATTAATGGGACTGCTGGCACTCTGATGGTCTTCAATCTTCAAAGATACACATGACTGGATTTCCAGGCTGTGTAAAGATCATTTCATATTAATATGCTATGCTAATGTGCTTCACTAATAACCTGTTCACTGGAATAGATTTCAATAGGTAAAAGTGTAAGTGCTGCCTTTAACGGTCAAGTGAAATCAAAGTGGTGCCAAAGTCACAAAACGCAGTTTCAACCATTCTGAATTGAATTACCGAACTACAAATTAGACAAATGTGTAAGAATTGTATCAACTGTAATGAAAGCAAAGTAAAATTGTTATAATATAATGAAAAATCAAATAGTTTTTTTTACAATGTAGGCTACTACCATTTATAATTTTAGGCATCTCTAGTATACATTTTAAATAATAATAAAAGCTTCGACACACGAGAGAATACATAATATTTTCTGCAATGTAAAAAAAAATGTTGGTTTAACTTAAAGTAAGTAAACTGGTTGCCTTAACATTTTAAGTTCATTTAAATAAATAAAATAAAAAAAACTGTTGATACAACAGAAACTGAAAACATGGTCTCTGAACTATATAATTTGATTTGACAGAAGATAACAGAGTGTTTGACAAAGTGTTTTTACTGTGTACAGAATTATATTTTATTTTAAAAAAAAAGGAAAAATAAAAATAAATAGATTAAGATGACATCTTTAAAATGCGTTTAAGCTAATATCTAGGTACAGTGAGTTTACCTATGCACATTGGTAAACAAATTCTTTCTTTCTTCCTTTCTTTCTTTCTTTCTTTCTTTCTTTCTTTCTTTCTTTCTTTCTTTCTTTATTTCTTTCTCTTATGACGTGTGAAGAGTGAATTAAGCAGTTAAAGTCTCAATGAAGCATCTGGCTTTAAGCGTCGGCAGCGCGTTTGAGTCTCATACAGAGATTCACTTGTTGCTGCTGCCGCTTCATAAACCTGAACTTTGCGCAACAGTTTGTACGCAACAGAGTGCGTCTAACGTTAGCTACAACAGAGTCGCATACAATATTACTCACTCACAGCCCGCTTAACTTACCTCTTCTTCTCTTTCTCAGCTGTCATCTCTCGGTCCCTTCGTTATTCCCGCAGTTCGACAGCAGTCAGATCTGATCTCTGTGCAAACAGAAAACGCTCCAAAACACTCGCGTTAAATAACAAGAAAACTGAATGTGAGAATGCAGTTAAGTCCACCAGCAGGCCAAAAGTGACTGTACAGTCTCAGAACACTGCCAAGGATCGTACAGTCTCCCACTTTTGTAAAAATCCAAGCGCGGTGAGGGAGTTTCTCGCTTGTTTTCAGGTCGGTGAAGTTCCCAGAACGCAGCGCCTCACTGAAGAGTGCTTGACAGCTGAGCAATCAATTAGAGCTCTCTGATTGGCTGGAGCCGCCATTGGGAACCGCCCACAGTCAGGGCTGACAAGACTCCTGCGTGTGTTCCTGAAGGTCTACTTTCTCCGAGACCAACTAATCTGTTTGTACAAATAAATCAATGATGCTGCCGTCTTTCTTTTACCCCCATGTAATTGGGCTCCAAATCTAATGTGATAATTGTCATTTTGACCCCATCAAAATAGTGAATTACTCAGAAAATATACATCTGTGACAGTTAATATTTTGCCTTTCATCACTATTTATGTTTGTCTTTCTTCCGAAAAAAAAAAAAATATAAACAAAATCAAAAATTTGAGTTAACAAGGAATGACCAGCTAAAAATACATTTGAGTGTGTTGAAAGTTTTGTTATAATGTTACTTCGGTGGATGGTATGACACTTAGCCTAAGCTATAGCCTAGATCGGTATTAGAATATAATTTTAATAGCTTGTGATGCTGGCATGCAGTTAATTTTAAAATATATTGCATGGTGGAGAAAATGCTGTATTAATGTTCTAACCCTAACCCACTTGACAAAATAGTGTTGTCTCTGAACTGGTAAATTAAGATACTATAGCCATGTTGAGCAATAATAACAATTAATTTTCTGTTGATTAAGGTATCCAAACAGTGGCTTACCTGTCTAATAAAACATAATATATTAAAGTGAATATATAGATGGCTCCTGTCTGCCTGGCTGCTGAGTGGTTTGAGTCTGAAAGCTCCGTATAGCTTTGTTTTGAATCTTCATTTACTATCATTCAAACTATTACATTCATCTGACATTGCTAGCTTTTAACTAAATTGATATCGGCGTGTTGTATGCAGGACTTTTCTAAGAAACAAAATTTATAGCAAGTGTTTATCACAGTCCTCCATGAAATGTTTATTGTGTTTGGGGTGAATGGTGGACAGACTAGCATCACTCCTGGATTTGGATTATTGTATTTTTCTGTGTTTTGACCCTTAATAGTAACAGAATCACTTTTTTTTTTTTTGGAAAAGTTTTGTGGAATGTCCTTGCCTATGTTTTGATGCAACATATGCAGCTAGAATATCTGTCCAATGGGTTTTCTGTATCAGAGGAAGTTATTAAAACAATTTGAAAATAACTAAATTTTGAAATGACTGATATCTGTAATGTATTTTTTTTTCAATCTGCTCTCATATATATATATATATATATATATATATATATACACTGCATACACTCACCTAAGGGTTATTAGGAACACCTGTTCTATTTCTCTTTAATGCAATTATTTAATCAATCCAATCACATGGCAGTTGCTTCAATGCATTTAGGGGTGTGGTTCTGGTCAAGACAATCTCCTGAACTCCAAACTGAATGTTAGAATGGGAAAGAAAGGTGATTTAAGCATTTTGAGCGTGGCATGGTTGTTGGTGCCAGACGGGCCGGTCTGAGTATTTCACAATCTGCTCAGTTACTGGATTTTCATGCACAACCATTTCTAGTGTTTACAAAGAATTGAGTGAAAAGGGAAAAACATCCAGTATGCGGCAGTCCTGTGGGCGAAAATGCCTTGTTGATGCTAGAGGTCAGAGGAGAATGGGCCGAGTGATTCAAGCTGATAGAAGAGCAACTTTGACTGAAATAATCAATCGTTAGAACCGAGGTATGCAGCAAAGCATTTGTGTGCTGCCATATCACGCACAACCTTGAGGTGGATGGGCTACAACAGCTGAAGACCCCACCGGATACCACTCATCTCCACTACAAATAGGAAAAAGAGGCTACAATTTGCAAGAGCTCAAGACTAGCTCAATTTGCAAGACTGGAAAAATGTTGCCTGGTCAGTCTCGATTTCTGTTGTGACATTCAGATGGTAGAATCAGAATTTGGTGTAAACTGAATGAGAACATGGATCTATCATTGTTACCACTGTGCAGGCTGGTGGTGGTGGTGTAATGGTGTGGGGGATGTTTTCTTGGCACACTTTAGTCCTCTCAGTGCCAATTGGGCATCGTTTAAATGTCACGGCCTACCTGAACATTGTTTCTGACCATGTCCATCCCTTGGCCACCATGTAACCATCCTCTGATGGCTACTTCCAGCAGGATAATGCACCATGTCACAAAGCTCGAATCATTTCAAATTGGTTTCTTGAACATGACAATGAGTTCACTGTACTAAAATGGCCCCCACAGTCACCAGATCTCAACCCAATAGAGCATCTTTGGGATGTGGTGGAACGGGAGTTTTGTTGGATGTGCATCCCACAAATCTCCATCAACTGCAAGATGCTATCCTATCACTATGGGCCAACATTTCTAAAAAATGCTTTCAGCACCTTGTTGAATCAATGCCACGTAGAATTAAGGCAGTTCGTATTAGTATGGTGTTCTTAATAATCCTTTAGGTGAGTGTATTTATAGTTGACAGTAGTAAATAAATGACTGTAGGTCATTAAGCACAGACATATATACTGTATAGTCTGTGCTTAATGACCTACTGTCATTTATTCATTTATTCTCAAAATACAGCACAATACAACTTTAACTTTTGCACTGTTGCACAGAGAGCAATTCTGAGTTTTGAGCATTCCTGACATGACAAGCATATGTATTTCCTCATGTCCTCAGACATGTATAGCCTCTATTTTGAATAGAAGGTCACATATGACAGGACAGATCCTTCATTCGTTGTTTTGGTCATGATGACCCTTATTTTTGACCAAAATTCTCTGGGTCACCCTCTCATTTTTCTCATCCTTAACTGTTTATTCTTCCAACAATTCCCTCTACAGTTCTTTAATTAATTAATTAATTAATTTATTTCAATGATTAAATTCTCTCTCTTTTAGATGATTCCCATTAGTCATCACAATGATTAAATTAATAATGCCCTAAAATTACCATCTAACTATGACAATCAGCCATTGTGTTCTCTGTAAAAATATAGAATATGCACAAAACAGCTACAGCATGCATTTGGAGACTAATTTACACTTCAAACAGTTTGGTTAATTTATGACATCTTATTTATTAGGTTACAAACCAAACAATGGACATTCACATCCTTTGAGAACAGTACATTTGGCACATAGTAAAATGCAAATAACGACATGACAGTGACTAATGGTAAAGATGTAAAAAAAAAAACAAACAAAAAAAACACGTCTTATGACATACTGTACATATGAAGCTGCAAAATACAATACAAAAAAAGTAATACATACACATTTATGATACTTACAGTGACATAATACACTTGTATAACTTATATTAAAATGCACTGTACCTCTGTATATACAAATATGTATTCCTATGTGATACACAGATTCACGTTTAACCAAAGAGGTACTTTTTCATCTAGTTTGCTTGAACATGTCAATGTGTTTCCTATAGTCATTTCAACAGTAAAAAGAAAAAAATAAACATGTCACTCATGAAGTCCAAAATGCTCATCAGGGCACAGGTATTTGATAGGTGCTGCTGTGTGAGTTTCCGTGAGTTTTGCTCCGTCGAGGCCTTTAGATGCCAGTTCAGAGAAAATAACCAAGCAAGTGAAAACTAAAAAAAAAAGCCTCAAAGTCAACATAAAACACTGGTCATAAGCCTTTTTTTTCTTTTTGGTGATCTTATATATGAGAATAAATGTAAAGGACATGAAATAAAAATTAAATAAATATTATGCAACAGGAATTGATTGGACTGTGAAAAGTGTGTTCACAGTAAAATGAAGGTGTTTGGATGCAAGGGGTTAAAGAGACTTATAGGGCAAGTTTTTTTTTTTTTTTTGTATTACTTCAAATTACAGATAAATGGTGCTCATTAAGACCAGGACCGGCTCAATGTCCCGCCCTCATGCCAGTAAACATGTCATCAGAGAAGAGATGTCTGCAAGAGGGAGGGGAAGTTCTTTTGATTCAAGTTTATGAGGGAACATGACTTTTAAAATAATGATGTGTGTAGATAAATAATTTATAATAAATAATATTCTGTTAAATTCCATACAAAATAAGAATTGTCAATTTTGATTTCATGGTGACTTTAAAAAATATCTAAAACAAAAACATACATAAACTTGCAATAAAATGTTTAAGATGTTGCATTTATTATAAATGTGGTCATTATTTATTCTGTTTATTATAATGAACTGATTGGATTTTCTTTAAAAAAAAAAAAACTTAAATTTTGCATCACAGGTGAGAAAGTTGTGCGATGTTTAGAATGGAAGATCATTTGTATGCATTTAACTTTTTTTTGCCACAGGATCTTAATATTTGGTCTCTTGTTAAACTAAAGTACATGAAAGACAGAGGCTGTAGCAGCTGAACTAAAGGACCTGTGCTGGAAATCACATGACCTGGCAACCTAACAATCAGCAAACAAAACAAACCGCCTAAAAGAAACAGTGGAAATCAGAGGCATTGAATCAGAAGGTGAAATGGAGAGGGGGGGCACGCACGCACACACACACACAGAATATTGCACATAACTGTTTCTCATATTCTAATAATACATGAGAATATCATAGGCATAACCATGCAGTAGATGATTAGTCTATTTTCAAAGTTCACAGGCTAACAATTAGGGTACTCAGGACATGTATGTATTGTAGACTGGAGCGACATGATTGGCTACTGTCCTGACCCGTTCGTTATGATGGGCTTCGTTGCATTGTAGAGAAATCAGCAGGTTTCACATCCTAGCAACAAAACAATCCAGTAATATAATGAACACACACACTAAAGAGGGACATTTTGTAACATTATCCTCCAGCACACACACACATACACACAACTTGTTTTGGTGGCACGAGTATATGTCAATACTGCTGTTTGAAATGGAAACGGTGTGATGGTCTAATGAAAGGCAGTTCTGAGTCTGTGCATCACCTTCCCAGTCCCCCCATCTCTGTCTGATCAGATCCCAATGCTGAGTACTTTAAAACTCCCAATTCACACGTTCAGAAGCATCACGTCTGCAATACAAACACTGATTCTTTACATTTGGTCTTTTTTTGCATTTCCAAACGGTGCTCGTCTAAATGTACCCCGACACACTGGATTATGGGAGAAGAAATGAAACATGAAATGGCTTTCCATAAGATTCGAATGAGCTCAATCCATCTGCTTTAGTGATGTCACACGAGCTCCTCTAAGTATAGCTCAGTGTGTTTTACATACATGAAATAAAGATTACTCTGTTTCATTTGGTGGACATGTGTGAGGATCTATGTGTTTTTTTTTTGTGTGGTTCAGCAGGAAAAATTTGAATGCCTTAATAACTGTTTAAAATGAAAGCATCTTATTCTTGGTGAATGATGGTCTACAGTGAGCTTGTGGGCGTTTACAGCGTTGGCAGCGCACTTGTGTGCGAAGTACAGCGCAAGAGATGGAGGTTTTAGGTTTCAGACAGAGTCTCGTCACCGAAGTAAGAGAAGCCTTTGAACTCGTCCTGGTTGATTTGCTTGATAATGGCGTCTTCTACCAGGGTGAGCACCGGCTCCTCACGGGTGAAGTCCTGGTCAAAATTGTTGACGTCTCTTTTGGTTTTCTGTGAAAGGAGAAGAAGAGTGTGTGATTCATGAGAGATTTCAGGACAATAACGCACAAAAACACACTTGCACCTACAAACGCAGTGGGGACTTCAGCACTGACCCGAAAAACACTTTCCCTGCCAATATTTCAGCAGTTACTATGCATGTCTCATATTTCTGTCGACTGAACCAATGACATCAATCATCTGTGAATTACTCTACTCTATTATCGTTATTTTCTTTTCAGTGAATTGTCCAAAATGGTTTGTAAAATGGTTTGAATCAATGAATCATCAGAAAAACTCACTCTGTAAAACACAGTATGGGGATTTAAGGAAGAGCAATGAAGTGGACATTCATCAACAAACAATTGAAACTAAAGGTTTCTTTTTAAGAGAAAACTTTGAGAAAATGTAATAAGCAGTCATTGTCCACCCATGCTGTTTTTCAGTTGTTTCTCTATTTGCACATATGCTAGATGGATATCTTTGAGCATTTTGTTTTAAATGCTTTCTTTTTTAAATCATTTAAAACAGAAGGGTAGCTCACCAATTTAAATTCATGTCATTCCAAACTCATAAGACTTTGGACAATCTTTAAAACACAAATTAAGATATGTTTAACCAAAACATTAAATAAATCCATAAGAATCAAGTGGTTTAATCCATGTCTTGTGAAAAGATTATAGAAAATAAGAAAATATTTAATTTAGACTTCTATTCGCATACAGTATAAACACATACTGTATATACAGTAGGCTGCATCTTGATAGGTCCTTATTTTGAATAAGTACTTCACGACTGCTAAGAAAGTACGTTCTATATAGTACAGTAACACCTCACTGCAGCACACAAGATCCAGGGGGCGGAGTTGGATCCAGATCTAAGGGGTGGAGATGGGTAGGATTAAGGGTGGGGTTAGGGATCAGCGGGTGGAGATGGGTAGGATTAGGGGTAGGTTAGGGATCAAGGGGTGGAGATGGGTAGGATTAGGGGTGGGGTTAGGGATCAGTGGGTGGAGATGGGTAGGATCAGGGGTGAGGTTAGGGATCAAGGGGTGGAGATGGGTAGGATTAGGGGTGGGGTTATGGATCAGCGGGTGGAGATGGGTAGGATTAAGGGTGGGGTTAGGGATCAGTGGGTGGAGATGGGTAGGATTAGGGGTGAGGTTAGGGATCAGGGGGGGGAGATGGGTAAGATTAGGCGTGGGTTAGGGATCAAGGGGTGGAGATGGGTAGGATTAGGGGTAGGTTAGGGATCAGTGGGTGGAAATGGGTAGGATTAGGGGTAGGTTAGGGATCAGGGGGCGGAGATGGGTAGGATTAGGGATCAGGTGGTGGAGATGGGTAGGATTAGGGGTAGGTTAGGGATCAGGGGGCGGAGATGGGTAGGATTAGGGATCAGGTGGTGGAGATGGGTAGGATTAGGGGTAGGTTAGGGATCAGGGGGCGGAGATGGGTAGGATAGGGATCAGCGAGTGGAGATGGGTAGGATTAGAGGTAGGATAGGGATCAGCGGATGGAGATGGGTAGAATTATGGGTGGGGTTAGGGATCAGCGGGTGGAGATGGGTAGGATTAGGGGTAGGTTAGGGATCAGGGGGCGGAGATGGGTTGGATTAGGGATCAGGTTGTGGAGATGTGTAGGATTAGGGGTGGGGCTAGGGCTCAAGGGGTGTAGATGGATAGGATTAGGGGTGGGTTAGGGATCAAGGGGTGGAGATGGCTAGGATTAGGGGTGGGTTAGGGATCAAGGGGTAGAGATGGGTTGGATTAGGGGTGAGGTTAGGGATCAGGGGGCGGAGATGGGTAGGATTAGGGGTGGGGCTAGGGATCAGGGGTGGAGATGGGTAGGATTAGGGGTGGGGCTAGAGATTAGGGGGTGAAGATGGGTAGGATTAGGGGTGGGTTAGGGATCAAGGGGTGGAGATGGCTAGGATTAGGGGTGGGTTAGGGATCAAGGGGTAGAGATGGGTTGGATTAGGGGTGAGGTTAGGGATCAGGGGGCGGAGATGGGTAGGATTAGGGGTGGGGCTAGGGATCAGGGGTGGAGATGGGTAGGATTAGGGGTGGGGCTAGAGATTAGGGGGTGAAGATGGGTAGGATTAGGGGTGGGTTAGGGATCAGGGGGCGGAGATGGGTTGGATTAGGGGTGGGGCTAGGGATCAGGGGTGGAGATGGATAGGATTAGGGGTGGGTTAGGGATCAGGGGGCGGAGATGGGAAGGATTAGGGATCAGGGGGTGGAGATGGGTAGGATTAGGGGTGGGTTAGGGATCAAGGGGTGGAGATGGCTAGGATTAGGGGTGGGTTAGGGATCAAGAAGTAGAGATGGGTTGGATTATGGGTGGGGTTAGGGATCAGGGGGCGGAGATGGGTAGGATTAGGGGTGGGGCTAGGGATCAGGGGTGGAGATGGGTAGGATTAGGGGTGGGTTAGAGATTAGGGGGTGAAGATGGATAGGATTAGGGGTGGGTTAGGGATCAGTGGCCGGAGATCTGGCACCTAACCCTGACCCAATAGGTTACAAGGTCTGTTTTTTTCTACTCTTCAATAGGTACTGTGAATTTGGACATACTTCTTTTGTCACATATCATATAGTAGGGAAGTTTTTTCGATTTCAAATGCATCCATATAATGCATTACATATGGTTAAACACAGAAGCTTGTGCATGGGTCACGTGATTCCATTACATGCTATATAAATATTCATATGTAAGTATATTTAGGTATTAAGTATTTATTATATAAAACTTGGATTAAACCAAGGATTATGGATTCGTTGTATGACACTTTTCTAAGTCTAGAAACCCAATGGATCTAGACATCCAATGGAGGGAGACACGGAAATACCTCTCAGGTTTCAATAAAAGTATCTTTGTGTTTCGAAGATTAACCAAAATCATGAGGGTGAGTAAATGACGACAGAATTTCCATTTTTGGATTAACCCTTCAAAATGTGTCTAGAGACAATTGCTCTCACTGATTGTTTGAAGTTTGTAATAAATATGAATGTCAGACATACATTTAGTTGAACTGTTACCTTTAGCAAATAATTTTTTTTAACAACAACAACAAATCCTTCCCCACTGTGCGTACCCTCAGATGAAATCCTGCAGGTGCCCCTGTCCAAACATGCATTCACATACTTCAATCTGTTTATATCATCGATTGACAATCATTTTGACAATTTTTCTTGGTAATCACTGGCACCGTGAAGAAGTTTCTCCTTGTTTAAAACACAACACACAAAAATATATCTGTGCATGTTTTTTCCCCAACTCTTCAGACCTCTCCTTTCCTTCACACCTTCCCAGGGCTCTCATCAGCTTTGTGAGCAGGCGTGAGAATAGACCCATCGTCACACTATCTGAGACGCATTCCACACACACTTACAGCAGCCAGCATGCATCTCTGTATCAAAGTACTGTGTCTGATGTGTGCTGAGAGTCCAAGAGCATCTCAGATATCCCGCTGTTCACACTACCAAAAACAGACGTGACACAAACACTTCAAACAACCACGAGGGTCCAAGAACCGTAATGTTCTCTAGATAACTGCCTTTAGAGCGGCCTGTTTTTATATCTGTGGTGAACCAGCCAATATACAGAGTTAACCTGTGTCCTAACCAGACACGACGTGATAAAGCGTCAAGCGGTATCCTAGTTCCTCAATAACGATCAGAACTTTATTTCCATTTCTTCCACTCTACTAAACATCAAATGAAATCTTATTGGCTGTTATTTTTAATTTTGCAGCAGTGACTTGACTTGTCCACACAAATGTATTATGTCACGCCAGGTTAATGTTATACATAAACACACAATGGCTCTATTAGCAGATTTCAACTGTTCAAGTTGGTTGTGCGCATTCACCAGGTTTTGTTTGAAAGTGAACTATGCTTCATAGATCGCTACACAACTGTCAATATACAATGTACCAATTTTGTCGGTGCAATTGTGCGAATGTGACTGCACCTTAAGGTAGAATCCTAATTTAAATAGAACTTAAATAAATTAGCAATTCGGAATGCTTTATATACTGTAGGTGGCAATTTCAAAGACTCCACTCACAACTGATTCCAGTTTAGCATTAACTTCAGTTATTTATGGAAAATGAGCAAGTTGCTAAGATAACAATAACTTATAAGCATAACAAATATTGGCCTATACTGCATAGCACACACATAAATTGAATAACAGCTTAACAGCTATTTTAAACGACCCTTGTTGATATTGAATGACTTGTATTGAATACACATCTTGCCTTTTTGACACATTGCAAAGCATTCTGGGATTGACATCTGTGGGAAGGATAAACGCACTGTCTTCCTTCGAATTTGCAGCATAGCCATTGTCGTCCACTTCGCCTATGATGCCTTAAAATGCTGCCTATGTAGGCAGCGCACTAGGTTTTGTAACAGAGCAACTGTCCTCAATATCTCACACATAAGAATACTCACAATACGTGGTTTGAATGGCGGCTTGATCTTCCTCTGTTCCAGATGTACCCAATCAATCTCTTTGAAGAATGGATGCACTTTAATAGCTTCCTCCAGTCCTTGGGTCACAACACAACCCAACCGCTTACTGGGACTCTTCGTCATGAACTGAACAATGGTGCGAAGAAAGAAGAAATGATTAGAGAAGCAAAAAAATCAAAGATTTGATGCTGACAGTAGACGTGCTAACCAGAAGACATATGCATTATGTTGAGTTGAGATGGTCACTGATGATGTATGAGTGATGTAAGAATGCATCCTGTGGAAGATGACCTGGGCTGACCATAGGTCATGTGACCACAGTGCCAGTGAGACAGATCGCAGTGTGCACGACACTATCCAAGACAAACAGAGGAAAGCTTTTCCCACAAAGCTTTACAAACAGGCAAAGGACGGCCAAAGTAAATCTTGGACATGTGAAGGAAAAAGGCGACACACACACACACACACACACACAAACTGATGTACCCAGAGACTATGGTTACATTCATACTGCAAGCCTTAGTGCTCATTTCTGATTTATGGCTTAGATATCATTTTTTTCTTGGCTAGTCACATTATTTTTTTAAATGTGGCCAACGTCAGATTGGAGTGTGTTCACAGACCTAAACTGACCTGCATGTGCAAAAGAACAATAAAAAAGATGACAAGCAGCACGCTGTCATATGGAAGTAAACATAGAGGCCATTGAAGTCAACGTTTACGTGTTCATTTATAAGGTGACGTACCACGTATATTTGTGTGGAAGACACAGACGAGAATGATATGTGTAGTTTTCCCAGAAGTTTTGCTTGTATAGAGTTTTTTTTATAAGCAGTATTGGGGGTAATGCATTACAAGTAACACGAGTTACGTAATCAGATTACTTTTTTTCAAGTAACTAATTTAACACATTACTGATACAATTACGACAAAATATCTGAGTTAGTAATGCAAGTTACTTTGTTTTCCCATTTATTGCCTGACACTGTCCTCATGTTGAGAGAAATCGTGAGTAAGTGTTGTGTGCGCTGTGTAAACATGATGGTTATTATAATTCTAGACTAAATGTGAGCCTAGCACAAATCTCACTAGCACAAAAAAAGATTCAGTATTCCTCGAAATAAATAAAACAGTGAAATGCAAACTCAGGATATTATGCAAACCTGCAATAATTAAATATGTTAACACAAATATACTTTATGTATTTAATCTCACTTTATTAATCAATGTCTTTGCTACTGACCTTCGATGATCCAATTCAACCATGCAAATAAGCAAAAATGACTTTAGTCACATAGTTACTAATAGACAACATAGTTACATGACATGTTGAAATTTCTTCTCCTGTATCTCCTGGAATCCAGAATGACAGAACAGCACAGTGAAAGTTTTGCTGTCCTCTACTGTAAAGGCCAGATTTTTTATTTCCTTCAGCCTGAGGCTTATTTCTTTCACTTTTGTTGTGAAAGGGCCTTTACAAATGCCAAATCTAGAACTTTTTTAAATGAAAAAAACAAACAAGCCCAGGTGAGAGCAAGTAATAAAAAAGGAACAATGCATTAGTTTCCTTAAAAAGTAACTAAGTAACGGGAGTAACGCAATACTGCAATCCATTCCTTTTAAAAGTAACTTTCCCCAACACTGTTTATGAGGTCTAACACCTCACTGTCCCTCCACTAACTACCATTGCAGGTGTCTATTTATATTATGTACTAAGGATATGTACTGTGACCAAAGTGTCTCCAGTCCACGCAAAATTTTGACGAACATCGATCTCTTGAATGACACTTGAATGACTCTTCAGACTGAGAGAAAAGATCAGGTTCCATGTGATTTGTGCTGTTCACAATTTTCATCATAGGTACACTTCAACTATGAGAGACAAAATGAGAAAAAAAAACCCACACTGTAAAAAAATATTGATGGTTTAACTTAAAAAAGTAAGTAACCTGGTTGCCTTAAAATTTTAAGTTCATTGAACTGGAAAAAGTGAGTTAATACAATGAAGGAGATTAATTTAACCATCAGAAACTCAAAATTATATGTTATCTGAACTAAATAAATTATTTAAGATGATTTGAGAAAAGAAAAAATGTTGTGATTACTACACTGTAACAAAATATTGTTGGTTTAACTTAAAAAAGTAAGTAACCTGGGTTGCCTTAAAATTTGAAGTTGATTGAACTGGAAAAAGTGAGTTAATACAATCAAGGAGATTAATTTAACCATCAGAAACTCAAAATAATAAGTTATCTCAACTAAATAAATTATTATAAAGTTGATTTGACAAAAGAAAATATGTTGTGATAACAAATCTTGAAAATATTTTTTACAGCGCAGGAAATCACATTGTAGGATTTTTAAAGATTTTTTTTTTTTTAATGATGGTGGAAAATAAGTATTTGGTCACCCACAAACCAGCAAGATTTCTGGCTCTCACAGACCTGTAACTCCTTCTTTAAGAAGCTCTTCTGTCCTCCACTCGTTACCTGTATTATTGGCACCTGTTTGAACCCGTTATCTGTATAAAAGACACCTGTCCACAGCCTCAAACAGTCACACTACAAACTCAACCATGGCCAAGACCAAAGAGCTGTCGAAGAACCTGCACCAGGCTGGGAAGAGTGTCTACAATAGGCAAGCAGCTTGGTGTGAAAAAATCAACTGTGGGAGCAATTGTAAGAAAATGGAAGACATACAAGACCACTGATATTCTCCCTCGATCTGGGGCTCCACGCAAGATCTCATCCCGTAGGGTCAAAATGATCATGAGAACAGTGAGCAAAAATCCCAGAACTACACGGAGGGACCTAATGAATGACCTGCAGAGATCTGGGACCAAAATAACAAAGGCTACCATAAGTAACACACTACACCGAGAGGGACTCAAATCCTGCTGTGCCAGGCGTGTTTCCCCCTGCTTAAGCCAGTACATGTCCAGGCCCATCTGAAGTTTGCCAGAGAGCATCTGGATGATCCAGAAGAGGACTGGGAGAATATCATGTGGTCAGATGAAACCAAAATAGAACTTTTTGGTAAAAACTCAACTCGTTGTATTTGGAGGAAGAAGAATGCAGAGTTGCATCGCAAGAACACACCTACTGTGAAGCATGGGGGAGGAAACATCATGCTTTGAGGCTGTTTTTCTGCAAAGGGGACAGGAAAACTGATCAGTCTTGAGGGAAGAATGAACGGGGCCATGTATTGTGAGATTTTAAGCCAAAATCTCCTTCCATCAGTGAGAGCCTTGAAGATGAAATGTGGCTGGATCTTCCAGCATGACAATGATCCCAAAGACGCAACAAATGAGTGGCTCTGTAAAAAGCATTTCAAGGTCCTGGAGTGGCCTAGCCAGTCTCCAGACCTCAACCTCACAGAAAATTTGTGGAGGGAGTTGAACGTCCGTGTTGCCCAGCGACAGCCCCGAAACATCACTGCTCTGGGGAGATCTGCATGGAGGAATGGGCCAAAATACCAGCTACAGTGTGTGCAAACCTGGTGAAGACTTACAGGAAATGTTTGACCTCTGTCATTGCCAAAAAAGGTTATGTTACAAAGTATTGAGTTGAACTTTTGTTATTGACCAAATACTTATTTTCCACTATAATTTACAAATAAATTCTTTAAAAATCCTACAATGTGATTTCATTTCATTTTGTCTCTTATAGTTAAAGTGTACCTACGATCATAGACGTTGGAACAGGGGGGGCGGGAGGGACCCTCCCCCGGCCGCCCCCCTAAATTCACCTAAGCACAGGCGTCAGTTTGAAATTTGCTGGGCACAGAGACACATTCGGAAGTGCTGGGTACAAACTTGTCAAACTGTGCAGCCTTGCTACTCAACCTATAAATAAATACATCGATCCGCCGGTATTTATTTGACCGTTTCAATGGTCTAGTGGTAGATCTTTTGCCCAGAGTGCCAGAGGTTACGGGTTCTAATCCGCCCTAGGTACAGTTTTTTTTCTCTCTCATCAAAACAGAATATGTCCATCTGTGGTTACAGTCAATATCAAACATAGGACACGTTTATTTTGTGATTTTACCGGAATGAATAGAGTCTCCGACGTAAAGGCGATTAAAGTGCACGTCCGAGTGAAGACTGCGCGCCACAGAGAACACTGTGCATAGCCTACAACTGACAGCAGCGGCAACAAGCGTTCCTCTTGATTTCAAAAACAAAACATTTTAGCGCTAGATCTCTTATTTAAACGAACTAAATTGATGCTCTGCTTAAAAGGATGTTTTATTGATGTTTAAAACGTTTTATTTTCCGATATATGGTGACTCAAGCACTGATGGATCAAGGAGCGGTCCATCAGTAGAGTCACCATATATCGGAAAACATTTGGAATGGGTCAGACATAGCCCACAGTAATTCTGACTTATTATGTTTTTTAAAAGAATTTCGTTTTTATAAATTGTATTTCATTTTAATCAATGGTTTTAATCAACAAGTTGACTCATACATTCTCAGAAAATGGATTTAATACCAATATTTTGAAACGGTGCGTAATTCCGACAGACCCCCCGACCCCCCCCCTCCCGAATCCCGCCCCTCCTCTCACAAAATAGTTCCAACGTCCCTGCGATGAAAATTACAGACCTCTCTCATCATTCAAAGTAGGAGAACTTGCACAATCAGTGGCTGACTAAGTACTTTTTGGCCCTACTGTAACTCTTAAACAGAAAATGCTAAAGAACACAAGCAGTCATGCATACAAATACACACAGAGAAATGAGTCAAACACGTCAGGCAAATTAATATGAGCAATAAGCATTGACTGAAACGACACTGCCCACTGGAATTGCTTTAAAATTGCATTGTTTGTCTTAAAGGTGCCATCTGGAACTAAAAATCAAAAAATATTCCATATTCCATAACAGATGGGGGCAGTATACCTCCAGAAAATGTGTTGTGCCGCGGCCGCGCGCACTCACGTCTTCAAACAACACAAGCGAGCTCTGTTTTGCTCTCTTTCTCCGCATATTATTTAAATCAATTGACACGATAGTAAAAGGTCGGAAGACCGCAGTTTCACGTGGAGCATTTGGAGATTTTTAGAGATCAGAGACTCAATGAACAACATCTCAACACTAAATGATGAAGACTGTCTCATAGACGCCTGTCTCAAAAACAAGCTGGTGCATTTCGACGATATGGGAAAATAAAAGCCTTCGGGCTATTATTTTAAGTTTACGGTATTCGTTCTGTTCATATTACACTTTTATTGTTAGTTTGAATTAATTTGACAGACAGCATTCGCTGATGTTGATCAACCTAGCGCCATTCAGAGCTGCCAACTCTCACGAATTCATCGTGAGACACACGCAATTAACACTTAGCAAGCAGGTTAGTTAAGCTCTCAGATTCTGTCAATTTTATTATGCAATTCAAACAATAAATACCGTTTTGGCGCTTGTAAATGTTAGACGACAGATCCCTAGCGCACGTGAACCGATCATCTCTACTAGCTAATGGAAAGAACACGAACACTGTTGAAAGATACAGAATGCTACAACTTACCAAAATGTATTCCTCATGGATAATGTCGACCAATCATTTTTTGAACTCTTTCCTGAACTGAAATGTAGTAGTGGGCTGTATTTCCACACGACTGACATCAGGTTCAAGTACACACAAGCCGGCGCGAGCGCGACTCACTCGTCTATTGCAATTTGGCTGGTGGTAACGTTGCCCGCCCGCATACCGCCTCCCATGGCCGGAACTGGTATTACGACACCTGCCGGGCCGGGGCTAGTAATTTAGCATGCTAATTTAGGTTTATATCTCGGCAGCACTATAACTTGTCAGTTTTTTAATTACATCATTGCACTTATTTCTTCTCATTCTTTTGATGCTTGTAGCTCATTTTTTGGATATTTTTACCTCAATTATTACATATGGCACCTTTAAATAACAAGATGAAATGGAAGACAAACAATGATGACATCACTAACTAAATTAATAACTTTTTTACAACAAAATGAAACATCACTGAACTTAAGATGGATCATGACGCTATTTTCTTCTGGAAACAAACTTTGTTGCATTTTCGTGTTATCTCTGTAAAGCTGCTTTGAAACGATCTGTATTGTAAAAAGATCTATCTAAATACAAACCGAATTCCATAAAAGTTGGGACACTGTACAAATTGTGAATAAAAACAGAATGCAATGATGTGGAAGTTTCAAATTTCAATATTATATTTAGAATACAACATAGATGACATATCAAATGTTTAAACTGAGAAAATGCATAATTTTAAGGGAAAAATAAGTTGATTTTAAATTTCATGGCATCAACACATCTCAAAAAAGTTGAGACAAGGCCATTTTTACCACTGTGTGGCATCCCCTCTTCTTTTAATAACAGTCTGCAAACGTCTGGGGACTGAGGAGACAAGTTGCTCAAGTTTAGGAATAGGAATGTTGTCCCATTCTTGTCTAATAAAGGCTTCTAGCTGCTCAACTGTCTTAGGTCTTCTTTGTTGCATCTTCCTCTTTATGATGCGCCAAATGTTTTCTATGGGTGAAAGATCTGGACTGCAGGCTGGTCATTTCAGTACCCGGATCCTTCTTCTACGCAGCCATGATGTTGTAATTGATGCAGTATGTGGTTTGGCATTGTCTTGTTGGAAAATACAAGGTCTTCCCTGAAAGAGACGATGTCTGGATGGGAGCATATGTTGTTCTAGAACTTGGATATACCTTTCAGCATTGATGGTGCCTTTCCAGATGTGTAAGCTGCCCATGCCACACGCACTCATGCAACCCCATACCATCAGAGATGCAGGCTTCTGAACTGAGCGCTGATAACAACTTGGGTTGTCCTTGTCCTCTTTAGTCCGGATGACATGGCGTCCCAGTTTTCCAAAAAGAACTTCAAATTTTGATTCGTCTGACCACAGAACAGTTTTCCACTTTGCTAGAGTCCACTTTAAATGAGCCTTGGCCCAGAGAAAACGCCTGCGCTTCTGGTTCCCGTTTAGATATGGCTTCTTTTTTGACCTATAGAGCTTTAGCCGGCAACGGTGAATGGCACGGTGGATTGTGTTCACTGACAATGTTTTCTGGAAGTATTCTTGAGCCCATATTGCGATTTCCATTACAGTAGCATTCCTGTGTGTGATGCAGTGCCATCTAAGGGCCCGAAGATCACGGGCATTCAGTATGGTTTTCCAGCCTTGACCCTTACGCACAGAGATTGTCCCAGATTCTCTGAATCTTTGGATGATATTATGCACTGTAGATGATGATAACTTCAAACTCTTTGCAATTTTTCTCTGAGAAACTCCTTTCTGATATTGCTCCACTATTTTTTGCCTCAGCATTGGGGGAATTGGTGATCCTCTGCCCATCTTGACTTCTAAGAGACACTGCCACTCTGAGAGGCTCTTTTTATACCCAATCATGTTGCCAATTGACCTAATAAGTTGCAAATTGGTCCTCCAACTGTTCCTTATATGTACATTTAACTTTTCTGGTCTCTTATTGCTACCTGTCCCAACTTCTTTGGAATTTGTAGCTCTCATGAAATCCAAAAGGAGCCAATATTTGGCATGGCAATTCAAAATGTCTCACTTTCAACATTTGATATGTCATTTATATTCTATTGTGAATAAAATAGAAGGTTATGAGATTTCTAAATTATTCCATTCTTTTTTTACTCACAATTTGTACAGTGTCCCAACTTTTTTGGAATCGGGTTTGTAAATGTGACTTGACTTGGCTTAACCAATTCGGACAGTTAAAACAGGAGGAACCCATGGTGGGCTGCTCATCCTGAAATGAGACCTCTGAGATTACACAATCCAAAAATCCAGCAGGGAACACAAACAATCTGTTCTTTTCCCAGAAGAAGTGTAATTTTTCTAATCTGTCATCTTCTTTTGCTCTTCTATTACTTAAACACTCACGACTGTTATTCCCAGAAAAGTTAGAGAGCAATCTAAATTAATTCTTCAGAAAATTCCCTAAGAATGGACACGTACCGCTTTAAGAATGCTGACGGCCTCTTTGCTGAGCCACACGGGATATAGAACGTCATCATGGAGAATGGACTCAAAAAGGTCATCTTCGTTATCTGCTTCAAAAGGAGGCTGACCAGCCATCATCTCGTACATCAGCACACCCAAAGCCCACCAGTCCACTGATGGGCCGTACTCAAGCTCCTGCAAGATCTGCAATGGACACATCACAACAACGAGAATGTCATTTGAAGCTTACAACAGACTAACAGGATATATCAAGTCCAGATCAAAGCACTTATTCTGTGCTGATTTATAGAGAAAAAATGGCAGTTGTCTGTATAATTCTGCGGTCACTGGTGGTTATTATGGTAAACTAAATATGAAACCTCATACCTGTAGATCTGAATATAATGATAAACTAAGACTGAACTGAAAATGGAAAACAATGAAAAACAAAATCTATTTCATTTGGGCAACATTAATTAAACAAACACCTGTGTTCATAAAACCATTCTCAAGTCACATTAATTAAAATATCTAAAAATATGAAAGAATAAAAAAAAACTAGCCATTTACTAAGAATTTAATTATTTAAAATCAATATTTTTATTCATAAATATGTCCTCAATGATGTACAAATATCTCTGCCAATTATCTGACTTATCCACGTAAAAGAATTTTTTATCTTTATATACATGGGACAGGTAGGTCCACGGAGGCTTCCATGTAGTTCCGCCATCTTGAAAAACTATAATAGCAGAGAGGGACAAAAAGTACTAGACCAACGTGTTTCCACAACGCGGTTTCGTTCAGAGCCAGCGCGATGTAACTGAAAGCAGCAAAAACGGAGGAGCAGAGCAGTGAGAGGTGCTTGTCACTGTCCCGGCAGGTTTAAAAGGCTGCATTGCACTGTTATTTTTAATGGCGGACCATATATGCCGAGCCACAGGAGAAAAAATCCTCGTCAACCAAAAAGAAAAATAGATTGTAAAAGGAAACATGACTGGAGATTACAAACAAACACGAGTTAATGTCGGGATAGCTTGTTTCAGGTGGATAGAGCTAATGCAGGAGAAAGATTTCAAAAGAGATGCTAAAGTCCTGCTTTCTTCTCGACATGTAAGTCAATGTTACAGTCTTAATTACAAGCTTTTTTTTTTTTTTTTTCATTTTTTGGTTGTGTACTTGTTATCTTATAGACAGATGAACATTTATAGTTAAAAGTTGATGATGCTATCTAACAATGCACACTTTAAAAAATATAATGAATAAAGAAGGCATACCTACTTATTACAATAGTTCATGTTTTTTCACTAGGGATGGGACGGTATGAAAATTTCATATCACGATTATAGTGTCCAAAATAATCGTGATTATCAATATTATCACGGTTTTGTTAAAAAATGTATGAAAGTGCTCAAAAAGAACTGATGCTCACACTGAAAACATTTCAACAAGTTTTATAATTGAAAATCAACAAACAACAAATAAAACAAGCCTCTATGCAGTTTTTTAGGCAAGATTCTATTCTATGGCATTTGCTTCTTTATAATGCCCGTCCTCAATAGCAACGCATTATTACACAGCGCACATCCATATCACAACGGACGCGCGCTCTTGTTTCATTCAAATACAACTTGCCGTCTTGCGTCTCCGGTTTTTGATTGTATTGCAAAAATGAAATCAGAGTTGATTTATTGTTTACAGAGTTTGATAATATTGGTGTGATATATCTTGTCTGGACGATTGTTTTACAAAATGAATTCATAAACAGGTAAGATTTAAAACATTAGCTAATCTCATTATCAATTCAAAATGTCCCCGTAATTATTTGGTAAAAATAAAATCGGTTTAATACGTGATGTATCTATACTTTACTATCCCTTAAAATATCACTCTTAACCCTTGTGCTGCATTAGATTTTTAACACCGTTGAGTGCATTAAGGACCAAAAATGGCCACATATTAAACATTGCCTAAAATATTATATATTATTATTATTTTCCACTTTTACCAAGTTAAATCTTTTAACCAGCATCAGTCCTCATCATAACTACCAAAAATGTATTCAATTTCAGGATTTTAACCCTTTAATTACCAGTTTTGTTTGCGAAACCATCGATTTGTATAAGAGGAAAAAACACAAAAATTCAATTATTTTCAATAAACTAAATGCAAAGAGAAAACTTTAGATTTGGATTATCACAGTCCCACTTTGCAAAAAATCACACTTAGCGCGTTAGAGACCAAAAATGGCCACCTATTAAACATTGCCTATTGCCTAAAATAAGGTGCATTTCCACCCATAGGGAATAAATATGTAGTGACGTCATCTGGTGGAATACACTATATAATGCAAATATAATGCTTTTGCTTCAAAATGAAAGGATGTTTGTGCAAAAATCATGTTTCATGTATTACTGACAGCCTCAGATTTAAACAAAGTTTTAATGGGTTTCAATGGGCCATTTTTGGTCTTTATGGTGCTGAGTGTTACTATTTGATCTACACAGTGTGTGTTATACATATTTTGCAAAATGGGATCACATTTTTTACATGTATCCAAAAAGTCACAATTTTGCCAAATTTCATACCATTTGCATTAAAACAGCCAAAATGGTCAAAGAAATTAAACTGCAAAAGACCAAAAATGTCCCTAATGCAGCATAAGGGTTAATAATGGTCTTGTTTGAAGTTGTTCGTTCGTCTTTGGCTCAAATCCACTTGCTACGAACTTTTCTTCGCGGAAGCTTGACGTCTATTTCAAGTAAGTGACATAAAATGTTTCAACTCAAAACAACATTTCGTGCCCAATTGTTTCCCAGACGTAGTTTTGCTATTGAGGTCAAAGTTAACTTGCCTTGCGTTCGGGTGATGATCACACAAGACGACTCGGCAGATTTGAAGTGTTTCTATTGCAGTGACTTTTTGTTCGGCAGACAGGGTGACCATCCTCGATCAAGTTTCCCTCCGGACTTTTGTAAAACACAAAATATGACCACACCTCAGATTTGGTCCTCTTAAAAGGTTGTAAAATCTCCTGAGCACGGTCACTGCCTTCCGCCATTCCTTCTCGAATAGTAATTGAAAAAAATATTGCTGCGCTGCGCGCCTGCGTCAGACTGGCCGACAGGATTCAGTGAGTTATTAAAATCGCGATAATCAAACACGGTTTTAATGATAATTAAATTTTAAACGATAATACTAACCGTCAGTACATTTTAACACGGTTTATAGTAAAACCGGTTACCGTCCCATCCCTATTTTTCACAGTCAGTAATACTGTAACATTCGTTTGTTCGTCAAGTTGCTGTTTGTTTGAATTAAAACAAACCTTTTTCAAAAAGGTTCTGAAAGATGGGTCAATACCAACGATTCGTGCCCAAACTTAAGATCCAGACAAAGTAAGTATCACATGTCATTTGTTGTGAGTCCTTCCAAATTGCTTTTCTGAAAAAGTTTGCTCTGTACGGCTAATGTTGCTAAATTTGTTATGCACAGTGCAGTCAGATTACAAGTGACTGAACATATAAGGCTGAACACCACTAGTTTCTAAAATTTTTAGTGTGTGAGATTTCCTGTTTTGTTGTTGCCGGTGTGCCAAAGAATGAGCTCGTGAAGCTCCGCCCTCTTCTTGAAAGGTGGCCGGGAGCACCAGCTCATTTGCATTTAAAGGGATACGCACACAAAAACAGAGCATTTTTGCTCACCCCCAAAAAGTGGCACTTTTAACATTCTCTAAAAATTATCTGTGGGTTATTTTGAGCTAAAACTTCATCAGGGACTTATTTTCCATCAAAAAGGGGCCTAATATGTCCCCTTTAAACAATATAAATAATAATATTAGATTTCTTAGCTTTGATGAGAACCAAGCAGTAGAAAATGAGAATATCGAGTGTTCACTGGGCATTTGTGTCTGTGAGAGTGTGAAATACTGTACCTCTGGGGCAATATAATCTGGTGTGCCACAGAATGTTGTGGTCGTGATGCCATCCAGGATTCCCTCCTTACACATGCCAAAGTCTGCCAGCTTACAGTGACCTTCTGCGTCCAACAGAATGTTGTCAAGTTTCAAATCCCTGCAAAGAAAATGTAAGCAAATGTAACAAACAGCAATATAAACCTTGCATGTTTGCATTGCGTGAAAAAACAGCACACAGGGATTTCTGTGAAGAATTGCGTGATGGTTAACTTTGAATTAACTTAAACATCTTTATCTTTAAAACACACCTATCTTCAATATTTTGCTTTTATTCTCATCTCTGCTTTGCATGCATTTTGATCCTCTTAACCATACATTGAAATTTAATAAAAGTAAAACATCTTGCCATCTTAAACATCCTGAAATAACTGATGCATGATTCAGATTCTGGATGTCTCTCTCTATCCAAATATTAGGGAACACTTGCAACACAGCAGGTAGGTGAATCATTTACTGACACTCATATCCCTGATATTAGTTTATTCAAGCGGACAATAATATCCTGATGTCTGCCTATGCACACGGACATCATTTTAGTCAATAAAAAGGTCAAAGTATTGAGTCAAAGTTTTCACATTTAATTGTATTAATATTTTAAAAGCATTTTTCTTATCTATTGAAATTAAACAAAACAACAGAGATGTTCCCGCAAAACTAACTTTGATATTTGAACTGTATAAAATAACATATTATTATAACAAAGAGTAATACTGTAAATATTTTAACATGAAAACCCATTTAAATGCACATATTCTGATTACGTGAAAAATTTTCATCAAATGAAATTGATTAATCTCTAAACTGTGCACAGTACATACTGTATGTTAAATTCAGAACAACAGTGAAGCATTTAATTACAGTGAATTAAAAAAGTATGACACTTAGAAAGCAAAATTTGTAAGTTTTAATGCAATTTACTAATACTCTAATGAGAATTATTTGAGACGCAGTTGCAAAGTTACTTATAGTTAGAATGTCTACAGAGGACCGTTAAAATAAAGCATAAGTTAAAAAAAAAATCAGGAGTATTTGAGCACTCGGGATGGGGCTATACAAGTTTGAGAAACACTGGTTTATTGGGCTTGCTCTACTATTAAAGACTACGGCACAGCATGTACCCGTGGAGTGATTTTAACCAGCACAAGAGGAAGGTAAAGAGAGACAGAGAGAGTGAAAATAGAAAAGGAGAGAGCGAGATGATAAGGTGCCACTGTTGAAAGACAACAAGGAGTTGGATGAAACCAGTCGGATTGGGGTTTGATGGTTGATTGCAACAAGAATGTCAACATCACTTCGCAGGATGTCATTCAGTCAACGGTGTTTTCATAAAACCATCCTCACCGAAAGGGAGGGGAGCGTCGGAACCCTTACGCAACTGTTCCCTTTCAGAAAGGCACTCTGGTGCTCGGCACGTTCCTGTTGGTCTGAAAAGTTGGCGAGAAGGGCTTCATTCCTCTCTGTCTGTCCCCACCAAAAGAGGTCAATCACTTTTAACATGCAGAAGTGTGTGGAAAAAAGCTTTTAATGAATGTTGAAAAGATGCATGGTGAGCGAACCACTTCCCAAATTTAAGATACACTTCTTGATTGAGGAGTTAAACCCATATTTGTTATTGATGACCTTACAAGTTTGATTAAACCATCAAAATGTGAGGAAAATATTTGATATGTTTTTATATAATGGGTAAAAAAAAACACCAAACATGGTTAATACTGTATATTAATGTGACAAATTTATTTAGCAAAAACCTGTAGGTTTTATTTTACTGCAAAAACAAATGTATAGAAAAACAAAAATCTTTAAAAAAGCATGATAATGCAATTTGCTTACAAAATCTGAAGATAAATTTGACTAATATTTTAATAAAGAGCAAAAATATGTGTATTTTTTTCACATAATTTACATAGGCTACTTCCATTTGAGATTTACTATCATTTCAAAGTGTGTAAAAATAGAACAAATAAAGAATAATTAGGTGTGTGTGTATTAACCTTTAGTGTAGGTACACAAAAAGAAAGGGGTAGAAAGTTCATGAGACGTGAAGGGCTGCCCTACTGTCCTCTACCCACATGAGCGTCTACATCACAAGATGTTCCAGAATTGTCCATCTCTCCATCTGTCTCTCTTTTTTTCTCTCTATCCAGTCCTATCCTACAGTAGTCTACTTTCCAACGCATCCTGGTCACGTCGCAATTCCTCTCTTTTCCAAGAGTTTCATTTGTTGATACAGATTATATGACATTGCTACATTGGCAGCTCTTATCTGTCCCATTTGAAGAGCATGAATGCTGGTCTCGTTTTTCCATTTATTTTCCAAGATGTTAGGTAACATACTCTTTGTGTTTTCAAGAGTTTGATTGTGATTTTCTGAGGTTGCAAGGTAAGGCTTTTGTCCAGAGGCAGCCCTCGCAATACAGAGGCCTGTTTCAATGAAAACAGTGGAAGCCCTCATATGGAAAAAAAAGACAGACAAACATTTCATGCAAAGCAACTGCACTTATCTCTGTTATACTCAACTATTTGATCTTATATTTAACTTGTAATAGTCTATTTATAAACACATATAATCTATTACTATGCAATCTCTTTAACCATAATGAAATTGTACTTTGAAATATGCAAATAAACCAACAATCGTTGTCTTAACGAGTGAGTCATTGAATCATTAAAGGGATACTCCACTTTATTTGGAAATAGGCTCATTTTACCACTCCCTCAGAGTTAAACAGTTGAGTTTAACTGTTTTCAAATCCATTCAGCCGATTTTCTGATATTTAGAAGAATATCAGTAACCAGACAGTTTCTGGTCTCATTGACTTCCATAGTAGGAAAAAAAATATACTATGGAAGTCAATGAGTCCAACTGTCTGGTTACTGATATTCTTCTAAATATCAGAAAATCGGCTGAATACATTCGAAAATGGTAAAACCCAAACTGTTTAACTCTGGGGGAGTGGTAAACTGAGCCGAATTCCAAAAAAAGTGGAGTATCCCTTTAAGTCAATCGATTCATTCAAAGCTGCTGATTCATTCAGGTATCGGTGAGTTCTTGAGTCAATCATTTGAATGATGCTTTCAAAAATGCGAATTCATTCGTTATATTCAATCGCTGTGGATGAAGAATACGTGTCTACGTCTTCAGTTTCTGAACTTTCTCTGGATTATTCATGAGAATGAACTAGTTTGCTGTATTATGCATTAAATCACATTAGAGCAGATTATTCAACTGCGACAAAATACCATTCCAGCGCAGTTCGTTCACCTCTGACTGTTCAGCTTTTGTGTTCGCAAAACACAACTCACCTTTTAAATGTTCTTCCTCATTTTTCATATAGACCAATAGCTCTGCAAATTTATAATGCTGACTCGTATAGAATAATAATAAGAATAGCTTGAAAAATGAACAAAACGTATTTGATTTGACTCTGATGATAAGATTTTTGTTGCCTTGGCTTTTGGCTTGCTTAGTTGGGGACATTTAATATTCAACAATATTATTGATCTGTGTTGTATTATTTTCATGTTATCACTATGAAGCTGCTTTGATACAATCTGTATTGTAAAAAGCACTATATAAATAAAGGTTACTTGACTAAAAATCGATAAAAACAATGCATATTTTCTTTTTCATTATAGGTCGGTGTAATGAAAACCTTAGCAGCAATAAGACGAGTATGCGATTAATTATTGTAGTACATTTTACAAGAGCTCCTTTCATTTGTAGGAACTGATATAGTAAGAACACAACAAGGCAGAAGACAGACAGAGAGAGGGAAACAACAGCAGACTCCATTTAGAGCATTTCCTGTGTTTCAAGTGAATCCTGAGAAGCGATTTTTTTCCATTACGTACACAGCAACCTCTCTCTACCAAAATATGTGCTAAAAAGCTGAAAAATAAGCACTTTTTCAAAAGGACAACAAGCCATTCCATTACAACAAACTAAAGAAGGACATGACGCACACATAATATAAATGTTAAACAGTAAAGGTTTTTGTACAATCTTTACTATAACAATCATATTTTTTAATTTAATTTAATTATATATGCACATTTTTTAAAAATGAATAGTTTTAGTCAGCGTAGATGCATTCAAAGTGAGAGTAAAGACATTATTGTTACAGAAGAATTCTATTCCAAATAAATGCTGTTATTTTGAACTTTTCTATTTTTATTTCTGAAGGATCATGTGACACTGGACTCAGCTTTGCCATCACATGAATAACTTTAACTGTATTTTAAATGCAGTTGATGAGACATTAATGCATTTTTGTTGATGGATTGTTGTCAAGATATCTTCTATATCTTCAGATGTCTGTATGCAGTGCTTTATCATGGTCAGCATGAATGACGTTAGCTGGCACACATGGAAGGTTACCAGGCAACATCTGCATGACTATATTAGAATTTATAATTCTATAATTCATAACAGAGAAGCACAATTTTGCATATACATGGATGGAAAGGAACAAAAATCAACCAATCATTGTATTCTGCAATCGGTGCAAAACACAACTCAGGTTACAGTGATTAGTCATTATCGGGGCTGTAACTGAGCCTCTTACTCCATACTTAGTACATAGAGGAAGTTGTTTACTAAAGTAAAAGCGTATTTTTGAATGTGCTCTTGGGTTAATATCAATTAGCTCTTACACAATGTGGATCACAGTTATACTTATTCTAGGAAAAGGAACATTATCTCAATCGTATTATGTTTTTTTTGCAGGTGAAAGGTCACAGAGAGCACACAAAAGCAGATCTCGCAAGTACAAGGTGTGGAAATACTACAATAACTACCAGCTCACGTGTTCCATCACAAGCCCTTCTAAGTCTCAGCACTTTTGTGCCTTCCATGTCCTGCCAAGAATACAGCTCCAATGTTACACCGTTACAAAAATCCCTCAAGAGCCATAGGGTAATCAAGCAGAGGAGCCATATCTTTGCCACCTGCTCTTACTATCTATTTTTAGGTGTAGTGAATATGAACAAATAACCAAACCAGCCACTTGCAATCTACAGCCGAGAAGTCAGGATCAAACATGCCCTCTTTAACCAGATTAAACTTCAATCAAAACTGCTATCATGTCCTTCATCGAT